TCGTTGTCGTCTCTCTCTCTCTCTCTCTCTCTCTCTCTCGTCCTACCACTGGGGTCTTCTCTTCTTGTTGAGCTCTGCAGTCATGAAGGTGCCGATGCAGTAGCACAGCAGTAGTAAGCGCAGGACCTGTTGGTGTCAATAGTAAACGTGTTTCACGAAAAGCTTCCATTAACCATCAACTTTCAATCGGCTTTGGTGATCGTGTTGCTGAGATCGTCGGTCAAACCGCATCAAGAAACGTGGAAACCTTTGAGCTTAGATGGCATATGCTGAAGCAAAAACCAGATAGGGCGTATATAATAAATACTGAGAACAAGAATCCGTGTGCTTATCCTAACACAGCAGCCCAAATTGACCAACTTGGCGAGCGCGACGGTAAAAATCCGCAGCAGCGACGCGTCCCTGTCGATCAGCGATGGCGACGCCTCCCCGTCGCCATCTTCTCTGACCTCTCTCCTTCCCACCTTCCCCTCTCCGCTGTCGCGGCCCAGGCAGCGCCCAGGTGGAAGCGGTCAGGTCCTCTGACGTCAGACGCGGGTTCGTACAGGTGGGGCCACCTTTCCTTCCTTTTTTTAAGTGGAAACTCCCTGTTTCCTGCCTGGATCGAGACGGCGCACCCACCGCACCGAACGTTATTACGCTACCAAACTAAAATATCCTTTCCCCCGCGGCAAAGACGGACGGTTAGGATTCTATCAGAACTGGCAGAGTGGAATGATCGAGGCTGCTCGCAATTATTATCTGATCGAGCAGGGGAGCGCTCTCGATCGAATGCGCCCAAATAGACGCGGAAACAGCTACGGAGAGGAAGGGACGAAGCCGTACCAGACTCGTCCCTCCGCCGGACGCGCGAAATAAAGAAGGGCGATCTGTCGTCCCCTTCCTTCTTCCGCAGGCCGACGAGGTTACGCCCCATGGATTCTGCGTGCGTCTCCCTTTCCCTTCCTTCTTTTTGCACCCATCAGTTGCAAATGCTTTTATTGATCACGGTGGGGTGCTCGTTTGCTTTGCCTTTCGCAGGTTTTGTGCGTGGCCTTCTGTTGATTGATCGATCGATCGATTTCGTGTGCCATGGAGATGTTGATTGGGTTCGTTCTGTAACGATGGAGATTCGGATCCGGCGAAGGCGTGATAGATTCGGGTGTGGCGGCGGCGTTTTGGGGTTTGGATCCTGGTCGTTCCCGTGTTCTCCTTGATCGAGGCCTTGTAACGACTTCGAGGTCGGATCTTTGACCTCCGATCTGGAGGAAAATGGAGGAGGAGCGTAGCTCTTGGGTGCTGAGGGCCAAGTTTTCCCACACGCCCTACCAGCGATCGGGCTCTGCGCGAGTGAGCTTGGCCTCTGATTTGGCCCTGCTGACCGAACCCAATGAATCGAATTCGGGTGGCGCGTCGAGTTTGCCGTCGAACAGGTCCTCTTTTCGGTCTGGCTGCCATTCCTTGCCGAGTCCGACGAACTCGCGCGTGGGACCGCGGGAGAAAAGCTCCGCAAAGAAGTCGAGTACCCGACCTGATGATGGCGGTCCGTCGGAGGCGAAGAATCCGGGGAGCCCGAGCGCCCAGTGTTCTGAATTCTCCTTCTATCCCCAAGGATTCCCGGCTCTGAAATCAGGAGGAGCGAGTTCTGCCGCAGTCGTGAGCTGGAAATTTCCGGTTTCTCGTCAGAAAGCAGAAGGCTTGAGTTCTACCATGGGCGCTGCCTGTTCTGGATGGGCAAAACTAGATGCCAATTACCGTCATGAGCGGGATCCTAAACCGAAACAAAGGTCGATATCACCTCTTCCGACCACCATCCTCTCCGAGGTCTTCAAGGAAGCTCGTTCGATCGGGAAAAGATTCTCCACTCCGCCGCCGTCCAGGAAAAGGTGCGACAGAAGCCGTGAAAATCACGAGCTTGCTTGGAGAACAGCTATTGAATCGACTCATTCTAATAAGTCGAGGGCCAGGAAGGAGACTTCTTGGGCGAGGTACTTTGACCATGGGACAGGGAAGGTCACTGCCTTGGAGACGACAGAGAAATGGAACGTTGATCTTTCCCAATTGTACCTTGGGTTTAGGTTTGCCTGCGGTGCTCATAGTAGGCTATACCATGGCGTCTACAAGGATCAACCGGTTGCTGTGAAGATCATCAGGGAACCTGATGATGACGAATATGGAGTGATGGCTGCACGACTGGAGAAGCAGTTCACCAGAGAAGTCACAATGTTGTCACATCTATATCACCGCAATGTGATTAAGGTGCATGTCGCTACTTCTTAGGTTTCGTGTTTGTCTGGTTACGTCTAATTCATCAGCTCGGTTATGATTAATGATAGCACGATATTGTCGTATACCTCTTGCTTTTATTCTCCATGAGTTACTGAAATCTTTTAACTGGTCTTCGACTTTGCTCTAAGTCAGTTACAGGAAGCTTACTGTAGTATAGTTTGCTTACCTGACAAACCCCTAACTAAAACATCTGGTAAAGTGATTTTCCGGTAACCTCATGATCATTAGAAAGTTTGCCTCGAAAGAGAAGAAAAAAGAGAAATTAATATTTCCTTTTTATGAATATAGAGCAAAATTATGTGTCCTGAACAGATTCATGATCACTGACTGTACCTATGTAACTGATCATATGCTAGATCCCTAACATTATCTATGAATTAATTGAATTATCTTTAGTTCCCATAATTACGTTGTGCACGAAGGAGTTATTACTATGCGTGGATTTTCTTTGGTTTTTTTCTACATCTATCACATGTTAGGTGGTCCAAATTGTCCAATTATCTTATTTTGATATCGAATGCTTGATAATGTATGGAATGACAAACTGTCCTTGACGAACTTGATTTCCAGTGGAACATGTCGATTGCTTGGTAGTCCTTTGTAATCTGATCTTTCTCCTTGTGGAACCAAGATACCCTGAGGGTTAAGAGTAACTTCCCTCGGGATGATGCTTTTGCACAACGCCTTTGCATAACTAATGCTATGTTGTAGGCAGAAAATAAACGTAATGCTATATTATGGCAAGGACTGAAGTATGACATAACCCATAACTTGTCAAGAGCCAGTCCTCTGAAGAATTTAATAGGCACAATTTGTTTATCCTGATATGACTACTGCCACAGGATGGTGCATTTCAAATGCACTGATATAAACAGAAATGTGGGCATGTTATTACGCATGCAATTACAATAAGTAGTCAGAAATTACATTAGTATGGGAGCAATTAAGACCACAAAATATTTGACCATTTCATTCAGAAGCATATGATAATATTTTTGCTTATTGATTGCATATGATGTTGATCTTGCTGGGGGCGAGATAACAAGCAATATACACTCACCATATTTATCACCATCCAGAATGTTTTGTTCCCAAATGAGCATAGACATGTTTTTCATACGTTTTCTGTAATTGTACATGCAATGTTATGTGAGGTAACA